AAAACTCTATATCGATATGGAGAACACGACACGTGTCCTCATCAACACAATGTCAACGAACTGTGATGATTCATCAGTTTCAGCACCGCAAGTACGGAGTACAAAGGTCCTTACCACATAGACCGAGTCAATGACAATGGCACTGTACGGCTCCGACATGCTACGCCAATAGCGGCACAGTCTACCAGACTTGGAACATAAGGTTTTTACACCCATACAAGCTGATCCCCTTGTAGGATTGCCATCGTGCGACGCACATGTCTACATCCAATCTCCGGAGAGTGCCCCGCACTTTAATTCATATGTTCTCCTTGTCCGACTGATGTTCGTGCCTTCCGTGACCCTGTCAGGGGGCGAATGCAATACACGGCTCTTAGCCTTATTCGCGACTCGATCCTAGATAGGGTTTGAGTTCGACTCATGACTGAGTCTTTCGTGAATAGTCATTGAGACAGGGTTCTCATGACCGCTAGTCATCTAGGTCGATAGTAACATCGCGCTAGATTTTTAGCTGGCGTGGAGAGATTCCACGCTACTAGATAAATGCTAGACGAATCTTCCACGCGTTCCGTTTTTGGATCGTGGAGTGAGTAGGATTGCTACCGCAACCTACTCTATCACACTTTACAGTCTCCCGCGGGAGTTCAGATCCACGATCCTTTGATTGTGGATCTCCTCGTTGATTAGTTTTCATAGCTTTCTAATCCTCTCAAACTTTCATTCTCTCAAAAAACACTGAAAGATCTTTACACTAGCTTAGCGTAGTGCAATTGGATCCAGTTGGATGTTCATTGGCACTTGGCGTGGTGGGAGTCCCAAAGTCCAATTTGGCCACTGACTAGTTGGTGACGTAAATTGGGAAGGGATTTCGGGCCTCATGGAAATGGCCTTCCAAAAACCGAATTCGGTGGATACAAAAAAGTTGTTGAAACTGGGCCAAAGGTGCACGATTTTTCCATACAATAGCTGTCATTGCACTGCCAAAAGCTGCCATTCTGGCCATGTCCTACGTGTTTTCAGTACTAGTCATTTCGATCGCTTTTAATTTTTTTATCCGGTGAAGTTCTCTTTAGTCTCTATAGAAAGTAATCCGGACAAGCTGCTTGAGCTGTAGCCCATGCGGGAACTATAGGTCGTTCTCCATAGACTTCAGCAAGACCATTAGCCAGTGTTTCAAGCATAGCTTGTTTCTCTAAAGCTTTGGTCTTGCTGTTCTCTAGCTGCGAGCAAAAGCCACCAAGGTTTTGCTCTCGCTCCTGGTACGCTTCTTCCACTACACTGAGTGTTTGTACCTTGCTGTTGGTGCCTGTAACTGTCTTGTCTCTGAATTACCAATCAATGCCTTGAAGTCTTCCCAGCACTTTCGACCATTGCTGTGATGTGGAGGTATTCTCTTCGTAGAATTGTCTTCAAGTCTTTGAAATAGTAAAGCTGCCATTTGTGCTTGCAGTCGGTCGCCAAAAGAGCAAAATTTCTGCCAAATCGACTGGTAGTTGAAAGCGAAGCTAGCTCTAGAACACTCTGTCCTGGTTTCACCTTGTATTCGTCAGTCTTAAGTTCCACCAATCCATATGCATGCTCATATGGGTCATCAACTTGTGTAATGTATACACCATTCCCAATGACAAGGTCACCCTCACCCTCACCCGCTGCGCTTCTACCGTTTCCTTTCAACTTAGGAAGAGGTTTCTTTGTTACCAACACGAGGTCAAAGCCAGCAGATTCCATCAAAAAGTGATTCTTGAACCATTCCATTGCTTCGGGAGTCCATTGGTGTTCCCCTTTCTTGATCGTGTCCCCATCCTTCGTTTCAACTTTCCATTCGTATGGAGTTGGATTGGCCTCGTCTCCTGGTCCAGGGTCCATGCAAGGTTCATCCGTTTCTACTGAGATTTGGTATCCCTCGAGAAGCAGTTTTGCAAAGCCGAAGGATGCCGCTGACATAGGTTTGTGATCAGTCGCTTCTTCCATTTCCTATTTAGCAAATTCCAATGCAGGTTTAAAGGCCTGAATTTGCTCATTAATCGCTGCCAGATCTTGATGAGACAGGTGATGTCATTGAGGGAAAACAATAGATCATAATCAGAATTGCAGGTTAATTGTTAACCAAGGACGATTTGAACGAATTCAACAATAAACAAATGGACGAGATGTAAAGCCTACCTGTGGCGACGACTGGGAGCGGCTGCTTCTTCAGTGCCAAATTGGCAACCAACCTATTCCTGAGAGCCACTGGTAACTTGGCCCCTTCATCTCTGATCAAGTCGTTCACCTCATTCAAATCATTCTTGGAAATCCCAATTAGCGAGGCTTTGTCCGTGAATCCATGATCATACCGTAGTATAGCGTTTCAACGTGGTTGCCAAGGGCGTTCGCAGAGATTCCAAGGCTGATCAACCATTCCTTCATCTCCTTGACAGACAATTCCCTATTGATATCTTCATCACTCATCTCGCCAATTCCTTTCTTTGTTTTCTTACTCTTGTTTCTCGTCGCTGCTGGAAGGGCGGAGGCTTCAGTTTTGGATAGCTGCTGCTGCACTGCGGCTGCTCTGGTGGGCTTTGTTGCACTCAATAGGGTGCTCTTGTTTCTCCTTTTTTTGTTGCTCCGCAGCTACCGTACAGTATGGGACTTGGTGTGTTGTTGTGTTGTGTCTCGTCTGGTCGCGCACGTCATGGTGCTACCATTCCAGCAAGAGTGAATTACTAGCTAGTACAGAGTTTGCAGCTACTCGTGACTGTCTAAGTGTTGTTAAGTGTTTCTTGACTATACCCAAGACTGTACATTTGGGTTGGTATATATCAGGAGCGTTCCTCAATCGTGCATGACTTTAAATCCGTCCCTAATTTAGGGTCGGTTTGGGGGAATCCGTCCCTAAATATAGGGACGTTTTTCAAACCCGACCCTAAATTGAAACCCGTCCCTAAATTAGGGACGGTTTTTCAGAAACAGTCCCTATTTTTAGGGTCGGTTTCGAAACCCGACCCTAATATTGGTGCGTTTTCAATGTATTTACCACTCAGTCCCGTTTCCATTTAGGGACGTTTTTCAAACCCGACCCTAAATTGAAACCCGTCCCTAAATTAGGGACGGTTTTTCAGAAACCGTCCCTATTTTTAGGGTCGGTTTCGAAACACGACCCTAAAGGGAATCCGACCTTAAATCCGACCCTAATTTAGGGTCGGTTGCATGCACGATTGAGGAACGCTCCAGGGGAAGTCACACTCGGAGCCGAGTGAGTAAGCTTGAAGGAGATCCAAGAATTTCATAGCTTACCCCCGTGTGGGTCTGAAGTATAACGGCTAGTTCTGTTTGCGTTGAAGCTAACGGTGTGAAAGTACGTAAAACATTAAGGTGGTGGAGAATGTGGTGAACAGATTTTTTAGGGTTAAGATTCTTTTGCTGCTGCGCTGCCTAGCATATGTGTGACTCCGTCATTTCTTAGTTTTTTGGTTTGAGTCTTTGAATTTGGTTTGAGTGTTTGCACAAGATATGGATACAGTAGTGTTGTCTGGGTGGTAACAATTCCAGTCAGGACCTTAGGAATGTTACCATTTTTGAATCCTATGCCCAGTGGGCATGAGTTTCAGGGACGGGTGAATGTGATTGTGTAAGCATTTTTGTGGAGCATGAGTTGTTAGAGGCAAGTCAAAGCACACCATCAAACGAAAACGAAAACGAAAACGAAAACCAAAACCAAACAAAAGATGGAAAAGAAAGTAATATACTGCCAAACCAGACTACCAAGCCAAATACATTATCGTTCGAATCTGGTGCCCATTGGGCATGCTATTCAATAACCTTAACCCTATTACTTCAATGTACCTTAAATCCACATTTCTGTGCAGTCATAGTTCATCTTAAGTATGTCTTGCCACCATCTACTTGAAGGCAACTTGCAATAAGTCTATAAAAAGCCTTAGTTTGACCAGTAACTGTTTTCCAATGGCATGCTCTTACTATTATATCATCATGTATATTATATAAATCTAAGTAATGAACATGCTTGCCTAAGTAAATATCCAAGTTTTGCCTATGTCACATTTTGGATAAAATGTATCTATATCTGAGGACTTTCATGCATTAAATAGGACACTTGCCTTTTTGGCTGGCTTTCTGCATTAAATTTCTCCAGCTACTAAGATACGGATAGTGCTTGATTCAGCTGAAATGCCAAAATGCTACAAAATTAGCTAAATACTCAAAATGATAGTTCTAGGCGCCACATCACCAGACAGACCCACACGGGGTTGATTATTTAGATAGCAAGTGTGCTCCGGGACTGGGAGTAAAATTCAACCACAGGGTATTTTTCGCCTTTGCCAGTGTCACTTTCCCCGCCCGACCAGTAGTCTACCACTCTGGAGAAGAGAGTGGAAAGGTCAACCTGTCAACCTTTCCACTGTCAATGAAGGGACCAGGACAAGAGAAAGCAGCGGGTCTTGCAGCCGACAAAAGCAGTTGTACATGTCGTTGCCCCCTAATTCGTCTGATGTTGTCATCCCGGTTTGATACTATTAATACATCGTTGTAGCCAACAATGGCCTCCTTGATCGGCAACCAGGTTGGGCATTGGGCACAGGGAACACTGCCCGAGCCATAGGGAACACTACTGCCCTTTGGCACATCATTCACTGTGATGTGTGATGGGTCTGGTAGGCCACCAAGACGGTGGGGTATCATCACCGCACCGCTTCTGGTACCGGTACCGGTATTGCACCTGCTCTGGACTGCACCCAAGGGTACAAGGCTGTTGAAAAATAAATGAAATAATGATGTCAAAAATTGGGCTGTTGTCCTGTTACTGCTGTCTCAAAAAGAATTCACAGATCTCCTTTTACCTTTTAGAGGCTACTCTACCAAGCTACCAAGCCAAAGAGGAGGCAACTAGCTAGGACTAGCTAGATCTAGTCTACATTCTGCTTCATGTAAAAGACCGGTAGTTCAAGGGCATGGGGATTGATTATCAATCACGAACATTAGTTCCTCACCCCTCTCTAATAAGCGTGAGCTTATGTCTCGAGCTCTCTCTTTGAGATTTGAGACATTGGAGACAGCTGCCCCTGACAAGAAGCCTTTTAGTCCTAAGACAGTGTTCTCCTTTGATCCCTAACACTGAAACCACTAAGTCAATTTTTTCCCGTTGCATTTTTGCTTTTCCCCCCTTTCTCCATGCCAATCTTTTACCAGGGTACTTTGCTATGAGTTGTTGGCAAGCTGTTGAGATGCACCACGAGCTTCATGCCATATGATTTCTATTTTATGGGAGGCTGGCCAGCTAGATGCTGGGCCGGAGACAAAAGGAAGAAGGAGAACTTTGTAAGGCCAAGGTGATGCTTATACGCTTATACTGCTGCACCTTTTTCCATATCGGAGGCAAGTCGCGGCGCTGCTGCTGTCGGTGTGACAAAATGGACTGGCCCAATTTCTTGGGTGCCATCGCCTTCGGGCATGTTTGTGTTGGCCAAACACAGAGTTCCAGGATGCAAAATTCCAGAGACTTGGCAGGTGTTGACTTCGGTCTTTCCGTAAACCACCGCATGCCCGCTCACCAAGGACGAATCAATAATCGTGGGTCCCTTAATGGTGATCATGGGAGAGTCATACCAGCGGTATCCAAAGTAGTATAGTGGTCCTGTGATATTCCATCCAAAGCAGCGCAAGACAAAATTGCTGAATTGGGAGCCCCAGAGAAGCGACAAGAGGGAATTCTTGCAAAAGTTGGCCATAAAGTTCATGTAGAGGGCATACAGTGTAGCATTCCAAGGCTTGGTTTTGTAGTGACCTGATCCATCTTTGGAATACAGAAACCAATGAAACACAATGCAAACAAGTCCCCATGTCGTGGTGTGGACTGCAAGCGTCACCGCCAGTCGAATGGCAGGGAACGAGAAAAGATCCAGCTTGTCACCGAAAACTTGAAGATGAAAGAATTCAAAGGCCGGCACAAAGGTTGCGGCAAAGGCCAATGCAACGGCAGGTGTGACCAAATCCACCAAGAGCTTCTCCCAGACCGATTTGAGGGGTGCCCAGTCAAGCTTCTTCTTTTCATCTCCAATCATGTCTTCGGTCACCAGGCTGAAGGGAACAAGCTCGGAGAACTGGATGGTAGCGCCTCCCCTCAAAACGACCGTATGCCCAATGCTACTGTCTTGGATTGTGACACTCTGCGGTTTGCCGTCCACCGAAAGGTCCAGAGTTGTAGATGATACAAAGGATCGCTTGACAGACACCAAATCGACCTTGGAGGGAGGGAAAACAAAGAGCCACACCTTGGACTGCAAGTCCAAATCCATTCCCATTGCCTTGAGAATAAGGTTGACAAGAACGGTGTTCTCTGCCACCATATCAAACAGGGTGCGGTAGATTCCAAAGTAGAAGTCTGCCATCCAGTGGCATAGCTTTTGGAATTCCGATTCCGATTGTCCTGGACGGCGTCGACCAACCAGTAACCACTTCATTGGAATGGACATGAAAAGACCCAGACAAGTGGAGAAAGCAACCAGCAGCAGGAGATGAGCCAATGGTGCATATCGCCAGCTCATGTGGCGCAGCCCTCCAAGGACGAGATCTCCAACCATGTAGTAGACAGCCGACATGTACAGGACTATCAAGATCCACACCAGCTTGGCTGTCTCCACGAGACGGAAGCAATTACCATGTTCGTGTGGCTTTGCCTCTGTGGATCCTTGAAAAGCAGGTGACCCGATGGCCACTGCGTTGCCTGGAACCTGGCTACATTCGCGTACAGCCGCCAACTTTTCGACATAACTTCCTTTGCCGATGGTAGTTCCCAAACCAACGTGGCCTCGAATGGTGCAGTGTGCACCAATGGTTATGCATCGGAACCTTAGACTTGGGTTTCCATTCTCCCAGGGGCCGAATTTTCGTGGGCGCACGTCAGCTTCAATGGATGTCGAGTGGCCTACCTCGAGGAGATCCCACTCCCGGAGGAAGGCGTCCACCTTCACAGAAGTCGGCATCTTGGTGCCCATCAGGCGGTAGAACAACCAGATCAGAGGGGTATTCAAAAGAAACTGACCAGTAATGTATTCCCATATGTCCACCAGGCGGTCTAAAAACCACCACCGTAAAAAGAAAACAGAAGGGACGACCACTTCTCGAGAGGAATATCTGCCAATCACAACCCACTTTGTCCCCACCACCAGGAGAGAGAAGCTTAGGTGCCAGACAGGAAGTGTCAAGGGCAAAAACCACTGCAACCAGGAACTGCTGCAAAGTTTGACAAAGTGGTAGGCTGGGACGGTGCTGATGGAAAGCATCAAAAGGAGAGCAATGACTCCGAAACCTTGCACGACAGTGCAAAGAACTCTGGGAATGGGTTTCTCCATCAACCCGCGAGGTTTCTTCTTCAGCCCCTCATCAAGGTCCACTGGAAAGAAAGCCCCGGAAGTAGGGGAGAGTACGTACTGCTTCAATGCATTTGGAGTCTTGAATCGTTCGGGAAAGTCTGGTGGGATGCTCACTGGAAAGCTCTCAGCGAGCTTGTTGCTTAGCTCAACCAGCAACATCGATGACAGAGCATTCTCATCCCAACCTTTGCTTGGATCGTAGTTGGCACCCAGAGTGGAAGCCATAGTGCGATCAAACTTTGCGTCGGGCGAAAGATCGTCCCATGGCTCTTCGAACATCGTGGTTTCGGTGCTGTCGGCTTCTTTGTCGTTGACCAGTCTGCATACAATTGGGAGGAGCCCGTCCTGGAGCATTTGCCTGGTCTTGCGCCTTTGAATCTTCCCACTAGTTGTTTTACAAATTTGACGCTCCTTGATGGCGACAACCAGAGTTGGAGTCAAACCCAGTCCCTTGGAGATCTCATCTCGAACCATGGCGCAAACACCCGCAGCTTCATGCTCATGCTCCTTGCGGATTTCAAAGACCACAGTCACATCTTCGCCAGACTCTGCTGATTCGTCAGGGGAAAAGGCAGCAATGCAGCCAGGTCTCACAGCCGACGAAGCGTCTTGCCCCATGTACTCCAAGTCCTGAGGGTAGTAGTTGACGCCCCCGATAATAATCAAATCTTTCATTCGTCCGCAGATGAAAAGACAACTGTCTTGAAAGAAAGCAAGATCGCCAGTCCGGAGATACGTTGGGTCGTCTTCGCCGTCGGTGTCATTGTGAACGAGCTTCGCCTGGAAGACTTCCTGAGAGAGTTCGGGTTTGTTGAGGTATCCCGCCGCTTTGGAATCACCAGCAATCCACAATTCTCCAGTGACTTCATCTTCTACTTCTCGTCTTGTTTGAGGGTCCACAATCTTGACAGTCAGCGAAGCATCGAAGGTTTCCCGTCTTCCAACTGCCAAGAATTCGGATGTGTCTTGGCCAGGACGGGGGCGCGAGACCTTGTGTCCGTGGAAAAAGCTGACCCCAACCACATTTTCTGCTAGGCCGAACCCAGTCATGAAATAATCCTTTCGAAGTCCGTAACCCCGAAAGCAATCCCAGAAGGCGTCCATCAGATCCGTAGAAATGGGCTCTGCTGCATTCTGAAAGTGGTGAACCTTGCTTAGATCCAGACCGGGGAGAGGATCTTCTCCCTTTGCTCGCTCCTTGGCCTCGAGGAATTTTCGAGCTACCAGCTTGTAGGCAAAGTTAGGGGCAACGGACCACGAGACGCCGTGCTTCGAAATGAGCTTCATCCATAGTAGAGGGTTTTGAATGAATGTTACCGGAGAGCACATGTGCATTCTCCAGCCTTCGGCGAATGGGCTGATACTCGCATAGATCAAGCCGAGATCGTGGTACTGATAGAACAACAGGGTTCACCGTTAGCATTGTACCGTCCGAAACATACTGTGCGACTGTCACTCGACTCTAAAACGGAACGTACCTGTGGCAACCATGAGAAGCCCACTGGCTCCACTTGATCGCTGGCGTTGCCGGTATGGAGGTGCCCATTCCCAAGCAGTCGAACATTGGCAACCAAGTTGCGGTGCGTGACCATGACACCTTTTGGTTGGCCCGTTGAACCACTAAAACGAAAGCGCATGACACACACTTGGGTGAGGCAAACGCTGGAAAGAGCGTCCGGTCATTATACAGCAGCCTTTACAAACCTTGTGTATTGGAGGAAGGCAATGTCATTTGGTTTGATATCCTGTTCGTCAAAGGCTAGCGCTGGGGCATCCCGAGATCCAAAAGATGCCAATAATCCCTTTTGCTTGCGACCTGCCGATAGAACATCCGTCTTGTAATACGGAACCTTTGCAGGCCACAAATGACGACTTTTGGAGAGAGGATTCATCACATCCAGCTGTTTCAGCATCATAACATCACCGTCCGTCAAGATTGCTGCTGGCTGACAGTCTTCAATGACATGAATCATCTTGGTCAAGGACTTTTTCAAGGGAGGGGCTGGGGGGTAGACCAGCACAGCCGGGCAACCAGCTCGTAGGCAGCCCAGAAACGAGGCAAAAAAGTGCAGACCAAAGTTGTACATGAGAACAACCTTTTGGCCACGTTCAATCTTCCAAACGTTCCGCAAATGATGGGCAATCAAGCCTGCTTCTTCCCATAGCTGCCCGAATGTTTTCTCGTCAGTTGGTTTCCCATGGATATCGTACCAGGTTGCGTAGATTTTGTTGTGTTTCTGTTCGACCACTGCTTTGGCCTTTTCGAGGAACGAGAGCTGTTGTTGTTCTTCATCCAAGGAAATGTTTCGTTGTTGTTCTGCCATCGTGGAGTACTGTCGCGTTTGCACTAGCGAGCTAGCGAGCTATTCCAGAGTAATTTTCTTTCTTTCGGAATTAAATTTGTGAGATGAGGAGGAGGGTACCGGTAGGTGATTTGTACTGTACCTCCGATGTTCCCTGGTCCGAGTGATTGCACTTGGGGCTGGCTCAGAGTCGGTATACCTGGTATGCAACTTCACACGGTTGCCCGGTCCAGTGTCTTCGGTGCATTGTTGGATGGGTCGATAGGATGATTTGCGAGTCTGCCTGTGCCAAGGTGTCTTCCGGGCATTGTGGGATTGGAATTTGGATCAATGGAAGATGCACAGCGGCACAGAGGCACGGTACCGGAACCCGGAACCATTTGAAATGTGGCGTATGGTAATCCATGAGCAAGTAACAAGTGTCTTGGATGGCAGAAAAAAGAATAACGAAGGAGTGACCATGCAGTCACTTCACCCAGTCTTATTTCTTTCAGACGAGTCTTGGGTTCCCTAAACCATCCATAGTACAGTACTTCAGGCAAGACAGATTTAAAAGAGTAGTTGCCTAGTCTACCGGTATCCAAGGATTTAACGAAAGTTGTAAACAGTTCCTCAGTTAGTCACCTTTTCGTTTCGCCCAATGCCCAATCGCGACCGGTATACCGGTACACTTCTCCCTTGATATTAAGAGAGTCGGAGATAAGATGTCAAGTACTGAGATTTGCTGGAATGGTAAGATACTTGAGACACTCAGATCTGCGCTAGAGCTAAGAAAGCCAGTAAGCACTCTCCCTTGGGCACATAAGAGATTGAGAGATGATACAATGACACTTTTATACAACAAAATGCCTTTTAAAAAAACAGGCGCCAAAAAGTCAAAAATTTCGCCTACGGCGGACCCTTCTCCTAAGGGTTTGTTCAGTAAGGTGGGAAGCAGAGTAGCAAGGTTGGTATATACCATACTCCTAGTATGGTCAATAGAAATTTCAAGAAAGCTAAGATGTTGCCTTGGGCCCTGAATTTCGACAAAATGCTAAGAAGATAACCAGTGCAGATATTTGAGTTTTTGCTAAGGTGCCTTCAGGGTTGAGGTGAGCTTAGAGATATCTTAATATCAAGGTAGAAGTGTATCGCAACCCACAGGGCCAGCTAACCTTCTATTAAACCTCAATACGACGATTATATTCTGAGTCCAGTACGGTACTGGAAGTATCTTTTTAATAAATCACAGTGTCTTCCATATCTTATAGCCACCAGCAGGTATTGTCACATACCATAATACATGCCCTGAGAGCTCCTGAGGAGCCACCACCAAATCCCAAGAATGCAATGGTTCGAAGCCAAAATTGACAAAACCAAATGTTGTGGGTGAAGCGGAACCCAAGATTGGGATATGGAGGACTTGGATGTAGATGGTGATGTGGAAGATAGATACTGGTAGTGGATACTAGCTGCCCTCACTCTCCACATAGTAGTAGTATTAGCTTAGGATTTGAGACATTGGTACTTGTAGCTTATCTTACTGGTTTGGAAATCTGAGTGTCTAGGTTATCTTTTAACATTTCTGTAATTTGAGTACTGGATATCTTTTAATACCCACTTATCTTAAGTGTGAGTGTGGAGTGTCTAGGCCAGCAAGGCTGCTAGCTCCAAAAGATGAAAAGATTGACAGTGGAGCACAACGGCGGCAGCGACAATTGTGGCTCAATTGATGGCAAATTTCACTGCCTACTGGCAGCTAGCTTTTGGGACGGCGTCGATTCGATTCGATTCGATTGAATGAATCATTCAAGGTGGTGCTGTGGCCGGGGTGGTGAAAGATGAGGGAGTGGCTAATAAGAAGCCAGGAAGATACGTCTGTTCTCGCAGGAGCAACGGTACCGGTTTAGCAACTTGGGAACCAGCATACCGGTGTACCGAACCCTATCACAGCTACAATGACGACAACAATGCTAGCTACTGGTAGCTTGTATGGGAAGCACGGCAGTGTGGTGCCAGTACAGGCAGTATCCAAAAAGTTCGCAATGACAACATGTCCTCTCTGCGCAACCAGCATACCGGCGTGCCGAACCCTATCGCGGCTGCAATGACGACAGTAATACTCTTTGGCATTGGAAAGAAGCAACGGCACCTCCACAACGGCACACTAGGCAGTATCCAAGAGTTCCGCACGCACCCCTTGCACTCGCCGAAGCAACTGGGCTCACAGGCGCAATGACAACACGTCCTCTCTTCGCAATTGCCTCCCAAGGACCGCCGGCAACCAAGCATCAAAGGATACACACCCCGGGCGTCTTTGACAGTACCGGTATCTTGTCACTCTCACTTTTGGCTGCATTTGACAAAGACGCGCGAAAGAGCATGAAGGCTGATATTGCCATATATATCCGTACTGTCCTATCCAATGAAAGGCTGTTACGAGAACAGAGCTTTGGCATAGACTTGTGGTTGCCATCGAAGTGGTTGTTGCTGGAAATTGGATCCCTCTTTCTCTTCTTCTGTAGGGACAAGAGACTCTAGGACTAGTAGCGTCTCTTGGAGTTGTTGCTGACCAGCTTGGATTTCTCCAGAAGGAATCAGCACAGGTACGACGCAGACAACGTGATCTCCATAGTATAAGACAGCAGGGCAGCACATTTCATAGTCTCGAAAGTTCATTTGACTGGCGTCTGATGCATCTAGTAGACGTTTCGTCGTATTGCTGCTGGATCCAGGATACTGCACCAGGAGACAGCATGATGCCCCTCTGTCATCCATTGTAGATTGACACGTTGTATCTGCAATGCTTGCAGCTCTGGAAATCCAATTGCGATCTTCGCTAAATGGAAGTGCTTTGAGTACATCTTCCAGAGAATCCCCATAGGACCCAAAGTGAGGAGACGTGGGGATGCTAATCACCAGAGGAATTCCATGATTGTTGCTGTTGTCGTCTCTTTTATCTATCGATTGTTGCTGTTGCTGGGAAAGAATCCACGCCACATCCACAACGCCCAGAGGAGATCGCAGGTAGTAATCGGGAGAGACACGCTGTTGCTGTGCCATTCCGTCCCAGGTATCTTCTCCTTCGGCCGCAAATTCTTGGGGATGTTGTTCTACATAATCCCGTCGCCTCTTTTTGACAGCTTGGATGGACTGGCGTAGTGTGTCGGGCGTGATGATCTCTTTTGGTATCAAAGCAAGAAAGTCGTCCAGGTCCCGTCGAGACGTGGGACAGCGTTGATGAGACAAGTGGAAGGCCAACAGAGTCGACACGTAACCACAAATGCCTTCATCGACACCATTCTCTTTGGCGACAGCTTGAAGGGCCGCATCGTTCTGGTCCACTGGGCAAACAGTTTCAACAACGGCCATCTTGCTATCGACTTGCCTGCTCAGTTGCTTTCCCTCCAAGGCAACTTGGATCTTTGGTGTCTTCCCTCGCAAAAGCGGATCTTTCTTTGTTTAGGGTTATGAGTAACACGTTCGGTACGGGTACTCACGTACTCACTGCTTTGTCGCACTCACTTGTTTGTCAACACCGAGCGAGACGCCAGTGCCTTCAATGCGAGATGTGCAGTTGCAAGATTCACCTTTCGTCTGCAGATCTGTCGCATATATTTCAACAAGACGAGGACTGCAAGGACCTTGCACAATTGGTACCAGGTAGATGGCCGGGTAGGAGCGAGGAAAGCAAGATGACTGCTGATGGGGCGAGTTGCCCTGGATGCAACCGCCCGATTACAACATTGCAAGAGACCAATGCGCACAACACCAACGGGAAAATCTGCCAGGAATGCGGACACTTGTATGGCCCTCCAAATTGCAAGGAGACACTGTTGATTCATTATTGCCAGACCAAACAGTGGGATGATGCCATTCTTCGACTCCACGATTGGCCCTACGAAGCCAGCCATGTGGGCGAGAAAAACGCCACGGCTCTTGCCTTGGCCATCCAAGGAGAAGCCCCTCTGTCTTTGATTCAGGCCCTTGCGGAAGCCTTTCCAAACGCTGTGACAACAGAGTGGACATTTCACGGTGACGCCGAAAGTCCATTTTGGTTTGCAATGACCAACCTCGCATCCAACCGAAAGTTGGGGCACTGCAAGATTCTGGTGAGCGCCAACAATAATGTGCTGAGAACGGGATATTGGAATGGCATTTACTATGTGAGAAGTCCCATTGCCTATTTCTCGTACGAATTCCAACGCTTGATGAAGAATGCTGGCCTTGCACAACATTCCTGCACCGTGAAGGAATTGTTGGAACGAGGAGGCAGTCTTGGCAGTACATTCCATATACTGTCACTACTGATCAAGGCAGAATATCATGGAAAACTGGATGATCCGATCGTGGGGTCAAGCCTTTTACACTCCATTGCTGGTTGTCGGGATCCATTCTTTCCAGAGCAACCTCTCTTATCCATTGTTTTGCGGTCTTCCCAGGAGCAGTTTCTGGAGGTAGACCAGATAGGGCGTTGTCCATTGCATATTGCTGCTTCAACAAGGAATCATGACAAAGCAAACTATCTTTCCAACCAACCTAATGGTGATTTGATTGCATGTAGCAATCGCAGGGATCAGTTTTACCAATTCATGTATTCTTTCTGCCCCCACGGTTGTCCTCACTTGTACAGGAATTTTGAAGAATACATGAAATGCAAGCCTGGCTTTCAACACAATTGTTGTTGTCGTCAACGTTTGCTCCGCAAAGACAAAGATGGCAAAGCCTACAGTGAAACAGAACACCCCAGCTGTGATTGCCGCAACCGATTTGAGCAGGCAAAACGAGACTGCAGATGCGAGAAAGCTTTTGACTACTACTATGACAAGATGACTGACGAACACCGAAATGACAAGATGGACGTGATTCAGGTGCTCATAGAAGCTTGCCCAAGGGCCGCGGCTATCCCCGACCAAGCAGGGTCCCTCCCAATCCACTTGGCCATTGCATCCGGCAAATGTTGGGATGCAGGTGTCAAAGCCATAGTCCAAGCATACCCTGATGCGGTTGGGATCAAGGATCCTGTGACCAAACTGTACCCTTTCATGGCAGCAGCCTCAGCAAATGACCTGGACACTTCATTGGACCTCCTTCGTCTTCGGCCTGACGTTCTCAATTGGGGCACAAGTCAGGGATGACACACTGTACTATATCGCGACAACACAAGATGCTAGCACACGGCGATTTCGACAGTCTAAAAAAGGTTCGGCGCTCTAATAACAGTAGCAGAACGACGGAACTGTGAAACTAGCACATTGGACAAACCTGCTTCGCGAAACCAAAAAGATATCTTTCCTGTCTGGCTTGATTTGGATGATCGTTGCACAGATAGTACCGTTGGTTCAAGTCATACAGCGATCTGCCAGTGGCCATATTGTAGGTCTCCATCCTGGACTAATTGTAGTGCCGAGCGTACTCCAGCAATGGTGTGGTAGGTGGCCAGATAGGTGGCCAGATTTAGGTCCTCAAAGGTTTTTGACGGCTTTAAGCCATGACAGCGATGGCTAGCACCAAGCGAGAAGTTGAGGCGTACAAACAGAGCATCCGTTGAATTCGGACTACCCCACAAAACCCTCACCACGACATTCGACCATGTCATTCACTCCACGCTCTCCACAAACAGAGGCCTTCAGAGGGTGCAGGATGATTCCCTGATCGATCCAGCGAAGACAATCGTTTTGTAAAGCGACGCTTCCCATCCAGCAATAGACCGCCAGCATTGCATCCGTGATCCAGCAACAGTCCATTGATTAGCTTGCGCATCATGCGTTTGAGAAATCGATTGGCTCGAATAGTAAACAAAAGGCAGTGCGGGTACTCCTCCTCATCATAGTCGTCTTGGCATTTGCACGCCGCCAATGATTCTTTCCAGGCCTTAGAGAATCCCGGGACATGATCTTTACCTTCAATATTGCTAGTAGTAGTAGTGCTACTCCAATAGAGGACGCTGGCAGATTGAATTGTGCATAGACTGATCTGGGTCCGAATCGCCCCAGAACTGAGAGCTTGTAGTCTAGTTCCTTGCCGACAGCAACATCACTCAATGTATCTCGTAAAGCGACTGCATAGTTCCGTGCTTGTTGCATGCATATGGTGTGATGAAGAGGGAGGATATAGATGTATTGTCGACTTGTCGTGGAGAATGTTGCATGGAAGCCGTCAGGTACCCTTTGGATCTCGTGGACCCTCATGCGACTGCCTGCCAACTGTTGATTCAAGTTGGTTTGAAACTCGTCCAGATCCTTTTCCAACAACAGGTTTCGTTGTTTGCCACTACTACGAGACACAAAGCTAAATACATTGGCCTTGGCCGAGACTCCAGCGTCCGTTCGACCTGCTGTTTGCAAATGGATTCGATGGTGGGGCTCACCTCGTAGAAGATCTTCCAGAGAAGATTCAATGGCCGTGGTCAATGTCGCTCGAACTGTTGGTAACTCCACATTCGAGTTCCATTCATAACCACCACTAAATGTAGGACCATAATAGGAGACGACCAACGAATATGTCCTTTTCTTTCTGTTCTCTGCAGATGGCATTGATGGCGGCCAAGTCTTAGAAACACCGACGGAATCCACCGGAAGGCGCTCGAAAAGGTCAGGGATGAATCGCAACTGTCGATTTTCACTTGCTTGCTCCCGAGTAAAGAATCTATGTTGTGATGTTGATGGTTGTTCGGAATGTTGCGTGGACAACAACAAGTTTAACAAAACCAAAATGACACCCATATTGGAAAGTGAAGTCGCATTTCCCATTCTGAGCCGCAAGTGTGAAGGGGCCAGTGATGGCGGGACACGGATAAATAAATAAATAATCGGATCATTTCGGATTTCGGATCCACAGCCTCAACGCCTCAACCCCCCAACCTAGACAACTGGTACTTAATAAAGTCAAACATGGATACGGTACCAGATACATGTTGTACATGTACTGGTACCGGTGTCTGGTAAAATCAAACGACTTTGGACTGTCCAAAATGACTGCATCCACACCATGTCATTGAGAAAGCTTTGACTCTCACTCAGTACTGAGTGGTACTGTAGACAGCTCTCAGCACGTCCCGGCAATGGTCGTAGTCTTTGGGTTGCCGATTCGAGGGGTCCGATACCGACGCGACATGTACATGGCTTCAAGGGTTCTTCAAAGCTTGCTCTTCAGAGGAAACCAAGAGCGTGATGCATGGCAGCTGCTTGAGATGCCAAGAGAAATGGGGGTAGAGACTGAGGCGACGCTGATCGTTTCTAAGTCACGTTTCTTCATCCCGCTTTCCTCTGGTTGCTTATAGCCAGCTCGATACCTTTGCTCTCTTGCCATCTGGTAATTCTCTATTCTTGTGGATCAAATCAGAAGACTATGCAGCTTTTCAAGGGCCGATGACGGGCGGCTGGCTGGTAGCCAGCCACGACAGGATCTTTTGAGATCCAAAAGTCATGCTCAGGCAGACGAGGAGGCGAGACAAATTGGCTTGAGCAAGCAAAAGACTTTTTGCTTGACCAGTGTGAAAGTTGCCGGCATCGGCAGCACCAAGTGCGAGAGATGAATGCTTCAAGCGTACCGCGAGGTGTGCACTAGCTAGCTAGCTTTTTCCCAATTTGCTTCAGGGTACAGGTACCGGTCCGGTACCTCTGAAACTGATGCTGGGCAACCAATGCTTACCGACGAATGTCTTTTGATGCAGCCAGATACGGCACCGGTACGACTGCATTTTGCGATCGCCCCAACTACGTGCCACCTGTTGGCGACAGTGCATGGCTGAGCAACCTACTTGCTTTTTCAGCTCCGCCCCTCCGAGATTGCCTACAACTACAACCAGCCACTATAGCCGAGGTATCAAACAGTAGGAATGTGTAATCGTAAAGTTAGTTTAGTAGTTTCATATGTAAAAGCCTGCTCTATGGAGGGCCGCCCTAGTTCTTCAGTATCGCTCGTTTCCTGCCTCTGATTGCCTGCCTGCCTGGACCAAGTTTGTTTGCTTACGCCTGGAAGGTAAGTCCCCACAAGTGCTCATCATCGGCCAGGAATGGTTCGGATGACAAGGCAGAGGGACTCTCAGGGATGGGGTCGGGTTCAAATGGATTCTCGTCACAGATGGCGGCCATGTCCATGCCCGCGTCATCAATCAAGATATCCAAGCACCGTTTCAGAATGTCAGATGTAGTCGACGGATGAGCAGCTGAAGGAGGTGTCACTCGAAAGCAGTCAGCTTGATCCAAAAGATCAGGAAAGGCAGTACTAGCATTCTTCGAGAGATGCATGGCGGCATCTCGTTGGAGTGAAATGAACGAGAGGGGCCGGTCTGCAGTAGTAGTAGTCGTCGTGACCTTGGCGGCAGCAAAGCTGATGGGCTTGGTATCTTCAGCTGCAGTAGTGTTGCTTGTCACCTGCGGCACGGTCTTTTGGGTTTGTGTCTCCTTGGCACTCCAACGACGACGCTGCTTGGAGAACTTGCTGGACTTGTAGGAAGGACTGAGACAATCACGAAAGGCTTGGGCAATGGTAGCGCGGATGCAGGCGTCAGAGACGACATACCATAGGTTGCGGCTGGTATCCTTCTTGACGAATCCTCCAAACCTGCTTCCAGCCATGATCTGACGACCAATGGTCGAAATGATGGTCGACTTGATGGTCTTGTCGGTATTGCCAACATAGTCCTTAGCCCGGCTCTGAACCACCGCACGGAGGTTGACATTGCCCGGGTGCTGTTGGATCTTGCGGCCTCGTCCAATCACAACCTCCTGGGCTGTGGGCGAGAAGGACTTGGGTAGGTAAGATGGTAGCAGAGATGGATGCATATTCGTCATGGACATGTTGGTGTTCATGGACATGGTTAGTCAAGGTGAATGTAAGCTTTGTGGATTGGGGAGAAAAGACGAGTGAGTCTGAATTATGAGGCTGTTTTATGAGTGAGCTTTTGGAATGTTTTAAGTTATTATCGAACTTTGACGGCTGGCTGGAAGCAAAGTGCGTTCAGACTGTTCGGAACGGTTGATGAGAGGGGGAGAATACGAAAGCTTCCAGCCAGATTTTAACGGGATATTGGTACTTTCCTCCTTCTGGCATAGTCGGGCATTGGGCATTGGGCAATTGCTCCTAAAAAAATACGCCTCAGCCACTCCTCAGGTCTCAGCTGGTCTCCTCGCTTCCTCGCTTCCCAAGATTTTGGGCCACATCTCGGAACAAGTTGGCGAGCAGAAATAGATAGTGTACCCTTGTACCTTGTACAGTACTGCAGCACTGGAGCATCCAGAGTAGAGAAGCACTCTCTGTGTCTGTGTTCATACCGGACCTACCGGTAGCACCTAGAGACCTACTAGTAGCTAATCTTAATAATGACAGCGTAATCTTGATGGTGAACCTTATTATCAGGCGAAAATGTGAATGACCCGAAGACCCGAAGGACAACTTTAACTGTAGAAATGGGCTAGAAATGACATTTGAGAGGGAAGCAGCAATGTCTTCAAAGTCGAAAGAAGAACATTGAGTCGAAAACTCTAATTCCACTAATTCAGATTCAATTAGTCCACCGGTACGGTATTTTCAGATGGTTTGGGAGCAAGAAGGAGGTGCAGGAAAGGAACTTGACTGTGGAATTACGCTTAAATCTGGTTGTCACACCAGAGCTCACACCAGTGAATTCTAGCGACTCCTAAAGGAAACCAAGCATTAATGCTCAGATTGCGTAGGCAACACGTTTACGCCCCCACTTTCCACTTTCACGACAACTTAAAAGAGCAATCAGTAGGATCTAATGAACTTCAATACCACTGTAAAATGGAAACTGCTTGGAGACTTGCAGCCTTGGGCTTATCCCAAGACCTACCGTACAGCAAGTAGTGTCTGGTTGAATTTCTTTATTGGGGTACTCGCTCGGAGTCATTGTAGCTGTGAATAATATTATTATTAATATATTGTCGGATTGAAGCCCACACAAGATGCTTACTGTTCTTTAGTAGCTGTACTCGTATTGCAGTAAGTTTCTGGGAGAGCACAAGCTTTAAATATTTTAACTACTGAGTACCATCTTTTCTCACTTTCTTGAACACTTTCTTGTACAGGTAGCATTAGATGTACCAGTACTCTTCTTCAATGACCTTCCGCAGCCTTTTTCACTTTTTCCGAAGTTGTCCTGTCAGGCTGCCAGGTGGTTCTGTACCTGGTACCGGTACCGGTACCAGTATTGGTACCATTGACCAAACTGTTACCTGGTGCGTATCAGTGGTACCAGTACTCGAGTACTAGTACCCAGATGCAGAGCTGGCAGTCACCCGTTTGCCAAGAAGCAAGTCCCAACAGCCAACAGGTCCTATTAGAGCATGCAACACCGGGGTACCCCATAGCTCGGGCATTTTGGGTTGCGCAAATCACAACCCAATAGCCGCGACCTAAACATGAATCCCATCGCAAATGACGTCATTTTTTGCAGATGTGATTTGCCCAACGCTTGCATGCTGCGCAAATCTGGTGACTTTGCGCTGGACCCAAAGCCAACCCAAACGGCAAAACCTATAAATAAACCGACAGATCCGATGAAAATCCAATGAGAAGAGGTGCGATCTTGGGGTTTTGGAAGATATCGTCGCAAGAATTGCACAGCGCGCAAAATTGATAGTAGTACGCTGCAGTTCACTTCTCGAAAACGACGTCGGAAATCTCGCACTCTTGCACATTTTTTGGATGCTTTCATCATTAACTCACAGCTCAAATCAACAGTTTGGGTGGTGAATTGTTTGCTTCAATTTATTGCCGTATTGTACAAGCCATCGTTTCCACTGTCGTCAAGCCACTGTTGGAGGAAATATACCTGACACCTCTTTACTATTGACTCGTGTACTAAACATCTAGTCCGGTTCGCATGCATATTCATGATGCAAGGAACCAAGGGAGTTTTAGGTCTAAAGTGTTACGGGGGTCCTTATATCCAATTCAATCACAAGAATTGCTATGCACCACCAGAAAAACCTCACTTTTGCTTTACAGCTTAATCTAAAACCAAATTACTCCCCAATAAGCTGCAGTTCAACACTGTAAAGCAAAAGGCCATCTCGAGTTACTACTACCGATCTCGAGACTGATATCAAGGTAAACCAAGTCAAAGACATCAAGTTCAACACTGACTTGAAGTGAGTTAACACCTGCAACAGAGAAGAGGTGCGCAGAATCAGGCTCTAGCTACACTATAAAGGATACCAAACACCTCTAACAGGAAAGAGGTGCTTGCGCGGGATTCCCATCTTCAAGCGCATCAAGGTACGACGATACATACTGGACAAGTGACTTCCGGCCGGAGTACACGGAAACCAAGAGTATCAGCAGATCAAGCACGTAGAACTGAACAGGTTACGTGCTGGAAGCAAGGAAATCCGGCTGTTATTCATCGAGTTGAAGAGGATTACGTCATCGTGTCATCGCGCGTGATTTTCGTCCGTCTCATCACAACGAGCAGAACTCATCGAACGGCGATTAAGATAAGTCGCGACACAGGCGTTGCAAGCAAGAGGTCCCATACATCAATCGATAGAGGATATCTAGCCGCAACTCTGAGTATCAGTGCAAGCTTCTAACTCCAAGAATTGAGTGAGATAGGTTGATTCGAGTGATACAGTGCTACTGTGAAGAGAAGCACAAAAATCACGAGAAAGCTCATAAGTATCCTGGAGAAGCAAACTCCACCGTGCAACTGTTTGAGCCATCCAACACTCACTCATTGTACTCATCCAAGCATACCAAGACCATCTGCAAGCTTTGCAGAGGCAACAAGAGACCAACAGAGGCAGTTCGCTACTACCCAAGGCTCCACCAAGAACCAAGAATCCACGTTTTACGTGAGCTGTCAACGACAGAGGCTATCCAGCCACCAACAGGTACACCAAGAGTGTACCAAAAGAAGGCTATCCAGCCAACAAGCAAGCTTTTTGAATAGTCACACAGCAGTGCTATTCAACGTGAGATCCTTCCTGCAGGAGTATCCACACAAGAACACAAGCTAGTTCCAAGGAACAAGCAAGCACAAGAGTGCATTACCACACCAGCAAGACCATGAGATTCCAAGGAAGAGGTGGTCGTGGTGGAGGAAGATACCCTTCTAGGGGGGGTAGGGGATTCAATTCCTCAGGAAGAAGCCATCAAGGAAGAGGCAACAGCTACAGGAACCAGAACAAGAGTTCCAAGCGTCAGTTCCTCTTCCACCCAAATGGACAGGCTGACACCAGGTATTATCCTTTTGAGGAGACCCTGACACACATTGTCCAGGACCTAAGGATCAAGCCTGAGTGGAATGATGTGCCACTGGCCTCATTGGCCATTGAGACCATGACAAGTCAGGCACCTATCAAGCCGACCAAGCCAACACTCCAAGTATCACTTGCTGATACCTAAAGCCCAAGAATACGATGCTTTGGAACTGAGCGAGTACAAGGCTAAAGTCATCCATCTTATGACAAGTCGACTCGATCCTATGAGAAATTCTCAAGACAGGTGCAACCTACCATCCAGGTGACATACTATACCGACGCCATGAAGTCCAAGCTTAGAGGTTAGAGACTACGAGGATGCAGTCAAGCTGGATCCATTGAGTTGCATCAAGAGGATAAGATTGATAGTGATGCAAGGCCCATACCAAAGAGTTCCCATTTGCACAATACCAATCAAGAACCATCCAACGTGGCCTGTTCCCAAAGCAAGGCGATCATGACAGAGTTGACTTCAACTTGAGAAAGGTCGACAAGCGACGTGGATCAAGTGAATGACCTGGTCGGAACAGAAGTCATTGATGTCAGGACTAACGGTTTGGCTGAATACAAGTCCGCATCGGGTCACGACGTCCAAGAGAATGTGCTAGTGACGGAAAGGTCTAGGTTGAAATCAACCGTAGGCTACCATGGCATACAGGAAGGAAGATACGGAGACTACCAGAAGACCGTTGAAGCAGCCTATGCCATGGATGGATCAATCCAATTTCCTTCTACCCTGGATTATCTCAGGGAGACTTTGTCCATTGACAGGTTCAAGCCAAGCAAAGAATGGTTGGAACAGAGGAAAGGCAGGGAACGGAAACCATATTCCAATCCTTTTGATCCCAAGAAGATGAAGGAAGGGCTCCCAGCTGCTGTCTTCTACCAGCAGTCCCAGCCAGGCGAAGCCTGCTACTTTTGTGGAAGCCCAGATCACAAACTTCCACAGTGCAAGGTGAAGTCGAAGATTCCCAAGCCTGAATGGGCCATCAACAAGTTCAATGCATGAAGAAAGTCCCCTTCATGCACAGTAACCACCAACACCAGAATGCAGCTAACTCCAAGGAGTTGCCCACCACATGGAAGGCGCCAGCTCCAGCCCCAGCTGGGGACTCTCCAGGCAAGAGTGGAATTCAATGGAGTCCTCCACTCCCTACGAGCCAGTCGAACTTTCAGCAGTTCCCCATGTCAAGCAAAGCCTCACAGGCCAGCGCGGAAGGTCACTGCAGGTTCACTTCCAGCACCACAAGTCGATGGAGTCCCGCCCGTGATGGGCAGAGATGATTCCACTTCCGACAGTGAGCCGGAAACTTCCATCGACTGGGGAGCATTCGTTACCGATTTCCTTGGAGGCATTCCGCTTTATGCAGAGGAGTTGAGGCATGATGAGACATCATCCTAAGAAAGCTATCACTCCGGCTACGGCCACGATCAGCTTGCTGAGGGAGGTCCTGACGGTGTAAGCACCGGATCCGACCTAATCCTTCACGGTATCATGAAACCCATAATATAATGGTGAGTCGTTCTGCCTTCACTGACACCGTCTTCCACACAACTCCAAGTGAAGGAGTGATCCCTCTGGATGGCCAAGACGATGATCAGAGCTGCTGTTTCGACTACAGCTCAGATACAGAGAATGAATTTCGTTGATTGTACCATGGACCCAGCCGGCGCCAACGGGAGAATCAGCGAGGCAGCTGTTATGAAGATTTCCAAGACCAAGACTCTCTATCAGTCGAAGACCAG